GAAGTGGTAAAGACATTTTTAAATCTTCTAGACTGTAGTCCCATTGCGCTATTTGCTTACCTGAGTAGTTGCTTCAGAACAGCTCTGACAGTCTATTCATTTTTTCCAGAGTTTCTGGAACACAAGTCTACCTGTATATTGAGCAGGGTATAACATAAAATGTCAGTGATTACAACGGTGATGCTTTTCCCCATAGCAATGGAAGAAACAGTATGCTGCCCTTAGATATGTCTCTATGTTAATAAGTTATCTATGATGTTGCTGGTTTTGTTTTTGCTAGCAAGCTGGACAGAAATACTCTTGAATGGCAACATTCAAGAAAAAATAATGGTCCATTTTTCTATAGCTTTGAGTGCCTTTTTATAGCATGCCACGGTGCTACCTAAGTTAACAAATACTGCAGAGATGAGTGAGAAAAAATGATCCATTGTATTCAATACACAGGTAGAAGCCAGCTGTTTTCCATCTAGACTTGAACTTTTTCGGGGGGCAAAATGGATTACTTGATGCCAAGATAGTTTACAGTCTCCTTTTAGATGGCCAGGCACAACTACTTTTATCTTCACGATGGAAGCTTGGTGCAAATTTTATTTTTGATTTTTAAAGGTTAGACATAATGTCATTAAATCTGCTGGGTGTAATTGTTGCCTGTCATTTAAAATAAATTTAAATAATGCCTAGTCACTTTGTGAAATAAAGGCTTCCCCTTGAAGTTTAGATATAGCATTTATGAAACAAAGACACAGCTGTGACTCTGTAGGAATCTCCATTTAGTTGTCTGCTATTCTTCACGGGTTATGTGTATGTTATGGGAGGAGACAGTGTGAAAGAAGAGAAGCAGAAGAAATGAACCAAAAAGAGAAAGCTAGGCTCAATCTAGGCAAGGCAAAGAAGGTCTATAAAGAACTTCTGGATAAGTGCTAGCTGAAAAGAACTTGAACATAGGGGAAAAGTACGATCTTCTGTTTGAGTCTTCCTGTATTCAGAGATATAGGACTCTATTTATTTACAAAAAACTGTAAACAGCAAAGTTACTTTGTATGTTTCAAGCAGATCTGAGTGTTTTCTGCTGTTATTGCAGATTTCCTGCCTATTCTGAACTGAAAGCTGAATAATTTGTGGTTCATCCTTGCCTGCAAATGACGATATAACCACAGTCTGTGAATTTACTTCAATGCCCTTTAATTGTGATAGAGAATCAGAAATGTTGTGGAGTTCGGAGTTAAAAATATGAATCTCGTATAACTGGTCATCAATTAGAACTTTGATGTAGATCAAGAAAGAAGCATTATTAGAAAGTTTACTTTTTTAAATTCCTCAGCAGAACTGTATACTATAGGTGGCCAAAGTGTTATTTTTCAAAGAGAAAGTCCTCATATGATACCTATTCTTGGGTCTTGGCAAGAAACAAGAAGGCGGCAAGTATATCCCTGATTTTTGGTCTTCGAAGGTACTGATACATGAGCATGAGTCCTTTCATACACTCTACCTCCCCCAGTGTCTCAGCCGCCTTTCTGTTTATATCTGTTGGTTTATTACCACTTGTGTCTATGAAGTAGCTCTTCGTTTTAGCTAGCCCTCAGGTCAAATTATTCTTTTTTTCCGTTCAGTTTCATCAGACAGTATGCATATATTTTTTTTTTAACTCATCAGCTCATCGGCTTTTATAGTCGTTCTTTTGTTTCTGACATTTTGACTGCTTCCAAAACTTATTTGTGCTGCACCCCACATCCAGGCTGGGGTTTTAATGGTACATTGTTTTGGGCAGCTACTTTATGGTATTCCTATCCTCCTGATTTCTTATCCGGTCCACAGTGCATCCCAACAAACAGCTGTATCAGTACAACCAAAGGGATAGTACCATAGTATGGAAACACCCAGTAGAGACTGGGATGGGGACTAGAAGTACTTTTTCAGCTTGGTTGCTGGTGTTGAATCTGAGTTTAAGATTTGATAGAAGTATTACTAGGGATTATCTGATAAAGATGGAAGACTGAAAGTATAGAAATTAGTAATGCTACAAGAATTCTTTGTAAGTTTTAGTTTGGGAATACTTTCAATAAACCCCAGTGAGGTTTAGGTTTGGCCAAATTTGAGAGTATTACAGCTCTATGCTACTACAAATCCACAGTGCCCTTTTGATACCGATCATTAATCATTCTCACCTTTTATACAGAATTAACTAATTAAAACAGATTGTTTATCTATATGTTTATGCCAGCACATACTAGACAGAAGCCCCCTGGTAACTCGCTATCTTGCTATAAATGACAGAAATGCTGAGTGTTGACTTTTTGGTCCTTTGGTCACTGTTATATCTCTGCAGTTGAATTAAATAGCCAAACATGTTACTGTTAAAGTATCTGTATTTGTTTTCTTGTGTTCTATTTATTACATAGAGTTATCCACTGATCAGATTAATGAAAACAGTATTTTTGTCTTGTGTTGTTGCTCGTGTCTTGTACTAAGATACATAAGATAATGAGATTAAATTTTTTTTTATGCTAACTTTAATTCACAGAATCTTTTTTTGTAAATCTGACTTGATAGTAGGAAAAAGCAATGGCATTTTCTAGCTGGAGGAAGAAAGAGATTACAATAAAGAACTGAAAAGAATGAGTCAGACTGTTGCTAAAAGCAGTTTGACCTTTTACTGGTTACTATTATGCAATTAGTCAAACTATTGAAAAATTATCTAACAAAATAATTCACAGGTTGGTTTAACTTCTGTTAAAAAGATTAATTAAAAAATTTACAAATTTAGAAATTAATTAGATGAATATTAAGTGTTCTCTTTTGTTCTGGCTTTTTTTTTTTTTTCAGTTTGCCTTGTTCAGCCAGGAGTATAACAATATTTTTTCTTACTAGCCTGCACTTTGTAGAAAATATTTCAGTTAGCTAGTGAAAAATAATCATCCTAAAATCTATGATGCTGTAATTTGCATTCCGTATTGGTGAGACTTATATTCATATATCCTTTTCTGTCAATTTCACAAATTTGCATAATCAATTGAATAGGTTTGATTTTTATTTTATGTTGCCTTTAGCAGCTCTGTCATCTGGCAACTCTCATGTAACTTTCCTTTTTGTTTTTTTAAAGCTACGATGTTGATTCGAAGAGCCCTAATCTGTCAAAACATGTAAGTGTTTTCTGGTCATTACACTTTCTTGTGATGAAATCCTTATACTTTCCTAAATCTATATATTTTCTTTTGACTTTAAGTAATAGCAGATACATAGAGACAAGTACAGAGATTATGCTGTGCTTATTAACATATACAGTGCTCAGGAGTGTAATTTTAATGGGACATTCCTCCTGTTAAGGGCATATTAAACACATATGCATTTTTTTTTGCAAGTTTATGCCTTTTCAAGTGTTTGATATGCTGCATCTTATGGATACTTCTCTAGGTCCTAAAAACTGTAAAACAGCTTTTGGCTGTGTTCAGATTCATGTAAGTATAGAAATCTTATATGCTTGTGATGTCTTGAAGTGAAAAGGATTAAATAGTAACTTTAAAATTTAGAGACACCAGAGTACAATTCAGAGGCTTCTGAGTGTGACATTTTTATTACTAAATACAGAGAGGTTTGGGGAGGAAAACCTCTAAGAATCTGGAGCATAAGTAAAGAGGATAATGAGAGGAACATTGTGTACATGTGCTTCATGCTGAAATGTTACAATTTTTTACCTTTAATCTCCAGTTGAATCCTTACTGTAAAGATTTAAAGTCCATGGCAAACTGTCTTCCATCTCTGTCGTCATGTCTTCTGAATAACCACAACATTTCCTGGGAGAATGTGGAAATAGAAGTCCTGCCTATACTGTCTTCAATAAGGATTAAGCCTCATCCTGGGCTTCTGCCCAAGATTGCTTGCACTTCTTTAGTAACTAATCTATCTTAATTGTTTTCTTTTTTCCCCAAAACTTAAGCCTTAGTATAAAAATGTAAGATAGTGTATTTTCAGACAAAAGATACAAGATAAGTTGGTTAATATAGAAATGCAGATATACATATAAATACATAACCTAGATTTCATTCTTTGGTTAGTGGAACAGGAATAGAAAATTTGAGTATCTTCCTGAGTCTGTGGTAAAACAAACCAATGAGAAAACAAACCGATGTCCTTCTAAAAAACTGTCCAAGTAGATCCTGAATTACGTATTTGCCTATTATGTTCTAATTAATACAGCCTAGCCATACCTGAATGCATTAGATCCTGTTCTTTCAACAGTGCCAATTTGTTGAAGTCTTCAAGCAGGAAAGGAAAATTTCTTATAGACATTAATATTAAAACCTGTTTTCTTCCATTGTCTGTAAGAGGAAGTCTATACAGTTGATGTAGACTTGGGTTTTTATGCTGAGGACATCCAAACTGTGCTATTATGAACATGAAGGAGAAAAGGGCTGTGAGAACGCTGCGAAAGATGATAGCTAGAAATGCTTGCCTCAACCACAGCAATTTGTCTAGATTATTTCTTGAGTGTTCAAGGTTAACCTGCTGTTTTTGCTGCCAGCTTCTTGTGTCTCTTTCCTAAAGGTCTTAAGAACAGGCAGTTAGTAGGTAGGAAGTGAGCAGAGCTTTACTCGTATTCATGCCCTGGAAGGTTGGTGTTTCCAAGAAATGTCAGGCCAACAGTATTTACATAGATCAGCTAGACTGCTCATGTGTTAGGTGTAGTGCTGTGGTGTGAAATAAAGTCTTTGCCTAAAAGTAGCTGATGGCCCATTCCTCTGGAAGTACTGGGCAGTCTCATTTAATAGTTGAACAGTTTAAGGATTTGAAAAAAGGCAGTCTGAAGAATTTCAGTCTCAGTGACTGAATTTTGGCAAAATTAGAAGAAACTGAAATGGGTTTTTTAAAGGAGATATGAAGTAGCCTTAAGAGCAGGGAGTAAAATTGACTACCTTAGACACATTCATGGCAACTTCCAAATTTTTAGAGTATTTTCTGTATTTTAGATGCAGAGTAATAAACAATTGTAATTAGTGACAGACCGTGGAACTTTACAGATATTCATTGTAGAAACTCTGCCAGAAACTGATATAAGGTTCTGTGAGGAAAAAAGAAAATCTTTGACCATGTGATTTCCATATGGAAAATATATTTTTGAATATGCCAATCCTGATGATTTTAAAAATGAAAGAGTAGCTGAATATTTTCTAATGCATTTTAGCCATTTTAAAAGCCTTGATCTTTATGGAAACATTGTCAGAATTGACAAGCACTTGCAATTCCCAGTACAACCATACCCTTCTGAAGCGCTGGGTCTTCAGTAGTTCTGTTATGATCTAGTTACTATCCGTATTTAATTTATATATACGTGTGTGTGTGTGTGTGTGTGTGTATGTAACACAGACCACTTGTGCAGTTTTGTTTTGTTGATACTTGTACTTCCTTAAGACTTCTTACAGTCCTCACAAAATATTTTATCTCATCGTTTTAAGAAAGCAAGCTCTTAAATATCATTTTTGATACTTCTGTTAATAGTTATTTACTTTTTGTCATAGTACATGTTTGTACCTTTATGCCAGTCAGTGAATCTTGTACAGTAGTTACCAGCAAACCAAGATGCACTTACTTTAATCTGAATGCTCTTTTGTATCTTAAGCTGTGTGGTTTAATGCTGCAAAGTGTTTGACAGCAAGAGGGGCTTAAGCATTTCCTGTCTCTTGGCCTGTTGTTCTCACTCCAGCACAGTTTGGGTGCCAGTGTTTCCAGATGCTGCCCACCTTCGTCGAACAAAACTCTGAATCTGATCAGTTAATGCACCTTGTTAAAAAGATATATTTTTGCAAGGTTATTTTCCTCTTTTCATGGGATTAGTGATCAGATCCAAATCACAATATGGTCCCCTAACTAGCACAGCTGGGAAGTTGGCACAGAGATGGGAATGAGTGGCCTGTGGTACGAGAAGAGTAGGGACCACTTCTACTGATACTGCTATTATAATCTGTATCATAGAGTGCTATATAGAAATTATAGTATCTTTATTCTCATTACTGCTTGTGAACAAATCTCACATGCTACTGTTACCACTATTGCCAATGATGCTGGTAAGAACAGAGCTAGCAAGCTCTTCTCGCTTGCAAGATAAGGAGTTAGACTACAGTATACAATTTTCTTCAGTATACATAACAACAGTTTGAAAACACATTCATATTTTTATACTACTTATGTTCATGCAGATGGGATATGAAGATTACCTGATTTTTAGTGTGATAGTTTAAATTATAAAACATAAAAATAGCCTGTCATTAAGGCAATGCTTGCCAATAGTTGTCAATCCAGCCTACTAATACAGACCCTGCACTGGCTTGAATTCCTGTCAATATCATTAACCTTTAAGAAGTTGGTAGAGTCAGTGTAGGATCTCTTCATAAAAGAAAAATTTATTAAAATGCTGCAGTCTGGTAAAGAAGCAGGCGTGTTGCTAATGCTTAAATTTTTCCATCTCAATTTCATGTCTGTTCTTGAAAAAGATAATATAAAAACAGTAAATTAGGATTACTTCTGTAATTGTAGTCTAGTGTAAATTAGGATTACTTCTGTAAATGTAATCCAGTGTTATATAAAATGTGTATAGCGAGTCTGTTTTAGGATGCGTTATTGCCTAATTAAGTTATTAAGGCATATTGTTCAATAGATGTATTGTAAGTTAGTAAAAAGCCTAGGTGAATGGGAAACCAAATTTTTTCCCATGCGAAATATGAATTCTGAGCTTTATATGTTACTACTTTTCAGGATTTTTTGGGACAGATGTTTTGTACTCTGGGAGAGATAGTTGGATCACAGGGAAGCAGACTGGAAAAAACAATTGTGTAAGTATGTCATTCTTGAATTTTGCATGAATACATAACTGCTTCATGAGGTGAGGTTTTTTTCTTTTGCTCTGAGGTGTCTTGATATACAGAACTGACAGATGTGGCTTCTAAGAGAAAGTAAATTGTCAGGTTTTCTTATGGACTGTTGTAATTTAAGTCTCAATTCGGACAATTATCAAAAGAGTTGACTCATCCAAAATTTTTGTCAACCTCACGTCTTATTTTAGAAATAATTTGAATATATCATTCTGTAAAATATTTTTCTCACTTTGTAAATAGTTTGTTCTTCTCAGTCTGTGTTTCAGGATGGTCTTGAAATAGAAGCAGTTTTGGTTATGGTCATGTCATTGATAAAATTAAATAATTGACTTCTGCTTCTTAAAAAAAACCTGTCCCCAGTGTTTTAACATGAGCACTTATTCTCTCGCTATCTTCTGAATTTGTATATTTTCATATTTAAATAGTTGAAGTCAGAATTCTCTATGATAAAATCACTTTTCTGGGAAAATGTGAAATCGCTGTTTAACCCTGATGTTTCTTAAACTTTACATCCTACTTGGCGCCTTTTAATTTTTTTGGATGGTTTCAAGAACTGGGAAAATATAGATACTTATAGTGTTATTATTATTTATTTTACTTTATTTTCTGAGGAACTTCACCCAAGTACTTAGGAATGCCTATAAGATGTTCATAGGTAGGGATATTCAACCTTTTTATACTATACATAGATTGAACTAGAACTTAGTGCCATATTCTGAATAATGACTGAATAATTTCTGTCTGTGGTTGAAGTTCACTCAGTGGTGACTCCTTGCCAAAGAAAAGTAGCCATCTTATCTATGATGCCAAATGAAGCGTTAGATTTAATGAATCCATATCTCAAAGGATCTATAGATTTGAAATGTGAGTAGATGAGTGCTTCCTCATTTGAGAGGTTAAATAACTTTCATCTCAGATTTCTCAAAAGTATGTCCTCTCCAGTTGAGAGGGCTTGGTGTCTAAGTGATTGCACTGAAATGTAATTGTCATTTTATTTCTTCTAGAATATTTGCTCCCTCTGTACTTTAATATGGATATTTTGGATACTATATCATCTAAATCTGCTAAATTCCTTTGTCCTTGGTAAGGAAATAATAATTTTATTTAGCAGATCACAAAATTCAGCTGTTGTGTAATAACCAGTCACACCAAGAATATTAAATGAAATCACAGTTTTAGTTCAACAAAAAATTAGTTAAAATAGATATTCCTTATTAGAATCAGAGAGGCGCTTCTATAAGCAACATTTCCCTCTAAAAAGTACGTTATTTGTTTTATACTCAGAACCTTTTCTCTTCTCCATGGATATGAAATTATGATGTAGAATAAAGCTGCAAAGGGCCATTCCTTAGGTGTGCCCATTTATGATACAAGTAATAGAATCTACCTTTTCATTTTATGTAACCCCCCTCCAGTACATGTGGAGTACCATATTGCATTGATTTAAATAGCCATTCGTTTACATTGATAACACTGAACATTTACAGAATCTTTTGGTACTTAATGCGTCTTATAAAAATCCTTAAGATCATATGGGATGCTGTTACAGATGCTGTTATCCGAGCAGCGTAACGCAGTGTAAAACAAACTAAGCACTGAGATAACCATATCAAAATAACGCAACCGAAACACGTTCAGTCCTGCAGGTTAACACATAAAGCTTTATTGCATTTTATTCAAGCATCAGAAAAGAAAATCCTCACTATGTATTCAAAGCCAAACACTCTTACTTTTATTTCTTTTATTCTTGATAATACCGTTCTCAACCAATCAGGCAATCCAAAGTATCAGGTATTTTCTACTTATCCTGCTAAATTTAACAAGAACTTGCATATGATCAACAGATTTGTCTCCTACTGAGAAGGTTTTGATATTTGCAAGCTGTTCTTCATAGGGAGATAACAAATATTTAAGATATTTGAACAGTGCTTGATATTCTATTCTAAAATATGTTGCAGTAGTTAAAAATAATTTACAATCTAATTTGTAAGCTAAATGTGTGCTACAGATTTGGGGATGACACACTGAAAACAATCATGTAAAGGCCCTCCTATAATTATGCCCTTCAAGCCCATTAGCCTGCACTAAATTTTGTCTGTAAATGTCTTACTTTCAATCATTTACCTTTTGTACAAGAACAGTTGTATTAGCATGACAGGATGAGGTGCAAGTATATCTACTTTCAGAAGTGGTACAGCTATATTTTTCCCTCAAGAGACTCTCATCTTCCTGGAAATTATCCTGAAATGGATATTTACGTGTTTTGCCTTCCTAGATAGAAGGTACTAGTCACATTTATCACTCTGAGCAATACTTCTTTCAGAATCTGCGAAGTGCACTCTCCGAATTGCCTTTAACGAGAAGACAGAACCATTGCATCGCTTAATAAGCATTCTACACCAGCTATTCACATATGATTGCCATTGCCTGTTAGTTAGGCCATACTGGAGCCAGCTGGCCTATTTTGGGAAGTTCCTTCTCCTATTATCTTGTTGTCAACATAATTGATAGAAAACTCTCTGACCCCTGGAATAGGGACTCCCTATATGCTTCTCCTATCCTCTGATCTGCGGTTATGATTGTGATTATGACTGCCAGAAGGCTAGTTCTGTAAATTCAGTGATAAGACTGCAGATTTTGGAATGGTCTGAAAAAATGTTAGATTCTCTGCCTCATTGCAGTTTCAGCTTGCAAAATTACAGACTCCATTTACCCTCTCAAGTTCAAATTCCTGGAAAAATTGTCATCTCTTTCTGACTTTTCCACTGATTCTGGAAAGGTCCTCCTTTCAGGCTTTGTTAAGGCCCAGGTGGTCTTCAGACTGCCCTTTTGCATTTCTGTAGGTGCTGTAGATGTGATGTCTCAGTCCTGCGGAATCCCCTGTTCTCAGGAGCGGGTGGTCACTCCTCAAGGCTGTAGTCTATCTAGAGACATGTCGATGTTTATTTGATAGTGGCTTTGTGTTCGGTTCCCCTAACAGTTCTGTGTTCCTCCGAGCCTGTGCAGTTACTTTGCCATCTTTGGGCATTTTCTCGTTTGCTATAAAGGCAAAATCTCTCATTCCTAGCTTATAGTATCAGAGGCCTCAAGTGAACCTTGTGCTATAATGGCTTCTGCCAGCAAAGCATTTTAAACTGCCTAAACAGAGGTAGTCACTATAGAACACCTACAGGTTCTGGGCCCTCAGAGCAGTAGGACCCACTGATATATAGGTCTTCCTTGCATTTTACTTTTCTTTATTCAGTTTGCACCCTTTTTACAACCAGACTGGCATATTTTCTGTATCTGAATATCAGATAAGTAGCACGAGTGTTAGACGGAACTGACAATGGATATGCAATATAGATGGCCTCATTATACCTCACAAACTCCAATCCATAACCTTTTCCAGAGACCCTTACCGTGAGAATTTGGTTTTCCTGAAGATAAACACTATATTGTCACTTCAGTGCTACAGAATGGATTCCACTGCAGCTAAGGCCAGAGATTCTCCTCAGCTAAAGACTGGCAGTGATGCCCCGTTCTGGGTTTAAACAGATAGCGCTCTTACATCCTCATATTCAAGATAATGTTAGTCAATATTTGCCTGTCACTTGGAAGGATTGGGTCTGTAATGATTATTCTTGAAATAATATTTTTTTGTACAATGATAAAAACAAATTGACTTTTCTGGAATTTTCTCACATGGCATCAATGCTAGTTGAAGGTCTTTCCATTTGGCTTATCTGTTGCTACTAAAGTTTTTGTCAGAGTGCTAATACTACGTTTAAGGATTTTTTTCATTAATATGTGGCTTGTAAGGAAAAGTGTAACGGAATGAACTCCTTAGTCACCCAGTCTTTTTTCAAGCTTGTCGTCTCAAGACAAGTGTACAAAATTCGTATTTAACAGTATCACAAACTGTAGAGGTCATTTTATATTTTCAATTCCTGAATAATAAGGGCTTTTTTTTTTTTTTTCAGTAGGGTAGTTCTGTGCTAATCTTGATATTAAGCATTTCACCTCTTGGCCAGCCATCACGGCGAAATTTCCTTTCCTTTATAAGGCATATTTACCTTTGGCACCTTAGTGATACATCAAGCCAAGCCTTTCCACAGATGCTTTCAGATATGATTATGCTGTAAGTACTTTTCAGAGTTATATGTACTCAGCAATCAGGAATTCCCTTCTTTTCTGATGTACACACCCAAATATGTTCAAGGAATTGCCCCTGCAGTTCCCCCCTCTTTCAGAGCAGTAATACCAGACATAGATTTCCTGTGATTAGGCCTTCCTTGGCCTCCATGTTCAGAAACCAAAGTGAAGCGTACCTTCACGTAAGTGCTTTCATGTGCAGGTGCCCGTTTGAGACAGGCAGGTGTTGACTGCCATGTGTTATATCTGTAAGCAAGGTGGTGCAAGGTTCTCCTCAATCAAATAGCAACTCTTTGCTGACCAGTGCATCAGAAGTGGGACTCACTCATCAGCAGTGTACTTTGGTCCTGCAGCTCTTCAGGAGATGGTCAGAGTTGTATTTCTCATGATCTAGTGTCTAATCCAGTAATCCTTTGGAAGTGGAATAAGCTAATATGACTTCTCACATCAAAGGAAATATGTAATGCTTTTTCTTCTAAATACCGAACTGCTCAGACTCTTTCTCAGATACATCGCTGATGCCGTTGTTAACTGGGCTCAGATGAATCTGTAGCAAGAATTTTAGTTAAGGTAATGATAATTCAGACACTAGTGATTTCTGTTTGAGTTGCCGTAGCCTTCAGAGTTCTGGTGCTGGGAACTTCTGTTTTTTAGTTAGACTTCTGAGATTTCTGTTTGTTTCTTACTTATTAAAGCAGTGGCCATGGTCGTTTATTCCTTGAAATGTTTTACCCTGTGAGGTCAATATTGCTGTTCTAAGTAAGTCATTTCTACTGCTGCTGTTACTGCCAAAGTTAAAAAAAATGTTGAAGCTTTAAGAAGTACTGTTCAAAAGAAAAAACATAGGTTTTTTTCTTTTTTTTTTTTTTGAAAATCTGAGATTTCAATTTCCATATCCTATTGCTACAAGGGCTAGAATGGATATTTTTTCAGGCCTTGAGCCACTGAAGGGTTACATTTAAAAAACAGATGATTTGAAGAAACTGATAAAAATATAAATTATACTACATAACATTTGGAATGACCAGTTTTTCAATTTTTCTTCAGTTGTAGGAAACAACTCCTGTTTGGCCTTAAATATTGTACTTAAGTCATGTCACATTAAATGGAAAGGTCCCACAAATTCTGTTTTTATTTAAATCCTCACTTAAAATGTGACCTCCAAAACTTGAATAGTTTCCCTGTACACTGTTTTTCTTCTGTAATCAGACTTCCTTGTTGCACTGAGGGTATCAGGTCCGGAAGAGTCATGTATCTCTGATTACTGGCAAACAACTGCAGCAGTACAGGAGCAGCATTCCCAGATGTATTACTTACACAGTTCAACACCAACTTGTAAACAAGTTTCAGTGAACTTCCAAAATCCTTGCATCAATTTTTGCTTCTCTGTTCCTAATTTTTAAACTTTAACCTGCTTAAAAGAACTATTTTCCCACCAATTCTTTTCTTTTTTCTCTCTCCTCTCCCCTCACTCTCCTCCCTCTGTCTCTTTCTCTCCCATCTCTTTTTCCTCTCTCATCTATGCAGGTTGCAGATACTATGGCATAGTGTTGCTTAGAAGTTAAAATTATATAGTACACTCTGCCTTACGTACTCATTTCTGGAATGCTTTGCTGTACCACTATCATGCTAAACTTAATTGCAGTGCAGGACTGTAAACAATTTTGAAAGTAAGCTATTGAGGATTAGGGAGAATACTAAGTGAAAATAAGAACAACAGTAAGTTGTTAGGTTGATGTTTTGTCATAACAGAAGAACGTGAGCACCCTGTAGTTCTCTCAGAATAACCTAAAAAGTATAATGAAACTGAAAATGTAATTTATCCAAATGCCTTTTTGGAAGGCAATTTTATTCAGATACTTAGTTATTTTCAAGAAAGAGGTAAAGGTGGAAATGTTATGTACCTTCATAAACATTTCAGAGTAAATGGCATTGCAGAACAATACTGATGTATGGTTTAAATTTATTTTTGATATTTTATGTAAGGAAAATTTGGAAAAGGAAGCTTTTCACAAATCTATAAGTTGTAGAATTGTCTTCAAATGTCAATGGGAGGGTTGAAAATAGTTATCTCATCCCATTTTAAGTTTTTATGTCCTTTGAAATTACATAGGTTTAAACTAATTTGTTTCATATTAATTAAAAGGCATATATACCTCATTTACTAGTTCAGTTAAGATAAGCCAACTTTTTTGCATAGGACAAGTAAGAGAAAAGTGAAACGATAGTATGCCATCTGTTTTGTTACTTGAAAGCTTACTTTATGTTAGTCTGTGTCAGTTGTAACTTTCATAAATGTTATTAAGGTATTGAGGTGATATACTTGGTTTTTTTCTTGCAGAGGAATTCCTGGGAAAAAATGTGGAACAGTTATAGTAACAGCAGAGGAACTGAGCTGTTGCCGAGTAAGTGTGTGTTCGTTGCTTTTTGAAAAATAAAAAGATTCTGTGGTTTAAACCTGGCCAGGATGTCAACAGTGCAGTGCATAAGTTGCCATTTTATGATATCTGTAATGATATTTTTTTCCTCTCAGTTGCTCTTAATTTTAGGTAGTAAAGAAAGAAGCAGAGAACAATTTGAAACATAAAGTTTCTGGTTTGTAAATGAGTTTTAAGTCTATGTTTTAACAAAAATTCATCCGTTTCAGCCATGGAATTGCATTACATTACATTATGTTGTGGAATATTGATGTTGCATGAACATCAAAGTAAAATTATGGCTTTTTAACCTTATAAGTAAAAAGGTTTATACTTATTGTGAATCATATTGTCTTAGAAATAGGAAATTAATGTTTACTGGAAAATGTTAATAAGATATTTAAAAGAATCTCCATAAAAGAAAAGTTTAAACAGCTTTCTTTAAAGAAAATGAAGACTGCCTCAGCTTACTAATGGTAGGTGCCTTCCTATTAAATGGAAGACAAAAGAATATCTCAGTGTATGGGGCAAACTAGGGAGTTTGGCTAGTTAAGGGAAGAGATATGGTGCGATCATAACCTTCCCCAGGTGAGTCACCCATTCTGCCCCTCCCAGGCCTCCTGGAAGACTGGGTTGGACAAAGGAGAAAAGAGGAGTGCTTACTAGTTCAGAAAGCACATGGGTGCTAGGCTAGCTCAGTCGCTTCCCAGAGCCAAAGAAGCTAGCAGCAAGTCATAAACCACAGGGAAACAGTGTGTGGAGGGAAGAATCAGGAAGGATCATAGAATCGGCTGATAAAGAACGGTTGATGTTTGAAGGGGAGTTTTGAGGAGATTGTCAAGGTGTGGTATATATATTGGATGAGGCTGTAAGATGCATCTTAGAAAAATTTTCAATAACAAGATAGCAAATCATAAATTAATAAAGCGATATCAGGCATTTGCTGTGAATATACTGAGGAATTGCAGAATGTAAGATCAGGTACATAAACCTGCAAAAATATCTTGAGTCTTAAAGGGATTTGTTTCTGGGGCTTAGTTTATGAAGTTCGGTGACAGTAGGGGTTAATGCTTCAAGTTCTTATAGAACTTTTGACTTTTTTACTGGTAATAAGCTGTTAATTTTTTCTATTTATGCAATAGTAATTTTTTTGACTAATATATCTGGTATCTGATCTGTGTAAATCATTCCCAGAGAATATATCAGCAAATACAAAGTTACCAAATCTGATGATATGAAAGTTGGCTCTGAGCTCTCTTATACAGAGGTTTTAGCAGCAGGAATTTCCTGTGTTACTAGTGCTAATGATAAGTGTGATCATGAAAAGTGCCAGTCTTTCTCCTTTGTTTTACATAGACTCAAACTTTTGGAAGTAGGAACTGGCCCAGTTGTTCACGCTTTGTCAGGTGACAAACTGGATGTATCATTTAATTACGTGGCTGCAGAAACTGTGCTCCTACTTAACCATTCTTAAAACAAGTTTGCCATCACCCTGAGCATTTATTGTTTCTATTAGAAAGGACAACAAACAGATTTTTTCCTGATACTCTGGGTTTATCTGTCAAGTTCTTCCAGTTGTAACACACTACTTAAAAGTGACAAATATATGCTCTCAAACCCATCATCAGACTGGGCTTTTTTTTCTTTCCCTTTAATGCAGACAAATACTTGGTGCCTTCCAAGGCTTTCGTATTCTTCCAGATTCACCCCACTCAAAATTCACTTATATAATGACTGTGGCTCAAAATCAGTGATGGAAGCTTATGAAATATTTGAGATTCAATGTCTATCTCTCTTTCCTGCGCTCTCTCTTCTCTCTTTCATAGTCTCTGTCATGCTCTCTTGCAGGTAGTCTCTCTTAGCAATCTCTTGCACTGTGTCACCAGCTGTAGCAAACTTTCTTTCTGCTATTATCCTACCTGAAGATGCTCAATATTTGGATTTTTTCTTGTCTGATATTCTGAGTCTTTTGCCAAAGTTTTATAGTTCATATTCAGAATGGCAAAGATTTTTAGAATAACAGGATTGCCGAGGTTGGAAAGGACCTCCATAGATAGTCTAGTCTAAGCCCCCTGATCAAAGCTGGGTCACTTAAAGCAGGTTGTTCAGGACTGTGTCCGTTCAGGTTTTGAGTATGTCTAAGGATGGAGGCACCACAACCTCCCTGTTTCAGTGTTTGATCACCCTCAGAGTAAACAAGTTTATTCTTATGTTGACGTGGAAGTTCCTGTATTTCAATTTGTGCCCACTCCCCCTTGTCCTTCCACTGGATACTACTGAGAAGAGTCTGGCTTCTTTACTCCCTCCCATCAGGTTTTTTACATAAGATCCCCCTGAGCCTTCTCTTCTGGAGGCTAAATAATCTCAGCTCTCTCACCCTCCCCTCATGTGACAGGTGCTCTGGTCCCTTAATCATCTTTTTGGCCCTTTGTTGGACCTACTCCAGCCATGTCCTTGTCTTTCATGTACTGGGGAGCCCAGAACTGAACACAGCAGCATAGCTTTCTGGCCAGTCAGCCACCCCTCCCAGTGTTGTATCATCTACAAACTCACTGAAGGCGTGCTCTGTCCCATCATCCAGGTCATTAATGAAGATGTGAAACAATATTGGCCCCAGTATCGACCCCTGGGGCACACCACTAGTGACTGGCCACCACTAGTGACTGGCTGGAGCTGGACTTTATGCCCCTGATCACAACCCTTTGAGCCCAGCAGTTCAGCCAGTTTTCAGTCCACCTCACTGACAACTTAATCTAGCCTGTGCTTCATCACCTTTTCTTTGAGGATATTATGTGCGACGGTGTGGAAAGCCTGGCTGAATTGGAGATAAACAACATCCACTGTTCTCACCTCATCCACCAAGCCAGTTATCTCATCACAGAAGGCTATCAGGTTGATCAGGCATGATTTCCCCTTCATAAATCCATGCTGACAACTCCCAGTTATCTTCTTATATTTAATCCTGGAAGCCACTTCCAAACGTGTTATTTGCTCCATCGCCTTCCATGGGATCGAGGAGAGGCTGACCTGTATCCTCCTTATTACCCTTCCTCAAAGATAGGAGTGACATTTGCTTTCTCGCAGGCCCCAGGAACCTACCCTGAATGCTGTGATAATTCAGAGTGGCCTTGCAGTGGCATCATCCAGCTCCCTCTGCACTCAGGGGGACCTCCTGTCAGGTCCCACGGACTTGTTGAAGGTCCAGTTTGTTTAAATGTTTCCTAACCTGGTCCTCCTCTACCAAGATTAAGTGCTCCTTGCTCTGGACTTTCCCGCTGGTCTCAGGTGCCCAAGACTCCGGAAAGCAAATCTTACCTGTAAAGATCAAAGCAAAGATAACTGAGTACTTCAGCTTTTTCCATGTCCTTTGTCACCAGGTCCCCACCATTCATCAGTGGGCCATATTTTCAGTTGTCCTCCTGTTGCTGCTGATGTACCTATAGACTTGTTTATGGAACATAGTCTTTCCACTAGGCCCTGCTTCAGTCAGCTAGTGAGTCTACGAGTTTGTCTTTAAGTCTTGCGTGTAGAGCTTCTCAGGCATTCGTATCTTGTAATTGACTCTGCCCTAAAGGATAACCATGTGTGACCTATCTGCCTTCCTGGCCACAGCAAAGAAACTTTATCATCAGAACGGGTGTATTTGGTATCTTCTGTGGTCTTTTGTGGAAGCTTCTAGACACTTAATAGCAAGCTGCTAAGCCATTTGCTTTACAGGGGGAAGAGATAGACAACTGCAGATTTAAGTCACTGAGCCTTGGTCCTGTTTCACTGGAGTTCTTTACATTAATTCTAACACATGTTCCTTTCCAATGTATCTGCTTCCCTCAGTGTGTAACTTTGGATGTTGGAAAATACTAGAGAAATCCTGCGGCATTTTGGTCTAGAGCTTTACACTCCCTTTGCACTCCTCTACAACTTCTTGATTCCAGTAGTGCACTGCACTGCATGCATGTTGCAGGAATGTGAGTGTATAGAGATCATCCAGTAGGCTCATACTGCTCATATTTTTGTTTTCTATTTGAATGATTAGCAGTCAATTATTTTTGGTTTTATTTCATTTATAATGTTTGCAAATTGCATGCTATATGTAATTTTTCTGTATTGCCCATTTCAGGATTCAGTTCTAATGCAATTTTGTGCCAACAAACTAGACAAGAAGGACTTCTTCGGGAAGTCTGATCCTTTCCTTGTATTTCATCGGAGCAATGAAGATGGCAGGTAGATAGATGCCCATCAAGTATTTCCGCTGCTTAACAGTAGGCAACCTATTTATAGCTGGTGATATAGTTTTCATTTTTTACTGTTTGTCCAATTAAGCTGTTTTTCTTTTGTAACAGTTGTTGAGTTTAAATATATCATGTTACGCAATATTGAAATAAAACTGTCGTAACAAACAGATCAAATGCTGCAACTAGGGATTTTAAGAGTTGAACATATGGTAGGTGGAGCACTATGAAAATTAACAATAATAAAAATTATTAAATAGTATGACTTCTGCTAATATGTAACATGCCTTAAAATGAAACAGAATTCTCAGAAAAAAAAATGTAGAAGAATATGCTAATGCTCATAAAATGTTTTAGGTAAAAGTTCTTTATACTGAAAATTTGGAAATATCTTTTACCTTTTTGACAGAGTTCTAGGAAACAGGTGAATTGGAAAATGCCTCACAAGAGAAAGTTTTGTTTAGAGATGGCTGTTGACTAAATCCATACTTTAGTTCATTAGAGTAGATTAATTAGATTAATCTTATCTGTTATGCTACTAAGACCTGACAGGCTAACTTCTGGTCAACATACTGCTTATGTGGGAGCCTGGTGGCAGATTAAGTTTTCTTGGAAACTGATGGTCCTCACGTACAGCATTGTCTCAAACCAAAGGCTAGTCGTGTGTTATATCACTTGTTTCACCAGCTTAACTAGAACAGTTCTGTGTATGAGTATATGTGTGTCTGTTCCTCGTGTTTTTTTATTGTGAGGCAAACTACAGGAACAGCTTCCTGAATAAATGCTGAATATCTTAAATTGCAAGCCTGGAGGAGTTATGGCTCCATTATAACATTAAGGTCATTAGTAGAATTTCTCTGGGCAATATTGGGAATGCTGGTATGTGTGGTTGCTCTTGGCCTTGGGTACCATGCTTCCCTACTTCCCTCTGAGGGGTGAGTGGTGAGCTACTTTCTCTGTTAGTCTCTTGAATCTGACAGGAGGTTAGGGGCAGCACTTCTTCTGTGGGAGTTGGCGCTCCCCTCTCTGTCTCCTAGCTTCAGAAAGACCTTCATAGTAGTAGCCAGGATAAAAACTAGGCCTTTGGAGCTTAAGGTATTCCTTCTAAAGAAGAACTTTAGTTACATCTATTGCTAGAGTTTCAGTAGTGATTTGAACAGTGATCTTGCTTCCTGTTTCCTTTTGAACACTTCACTTGCCAAGGTAAGCGCTCAAAAGATTTATTTTATTTCTGCATCATTTAGAGAAAGCAGAATGCTTTAAAACAATTTGTTTTATTTTATCTGAGAGAAGGTAACTATGGGATCTCATGGAGGCTTATATGTTTTACCTGACACGCCTGGTTAAAATCATATAAATAATCCTGCATCAGAGAGCATCAAAACAAGCATCAGAAAGCCATGATTTCCTTGGCTGAATTTTTTAATCACGAAGCAAGAGTCAGATGACCACCAGACTGCTTGCTTTCTGGATCTGTAACTGATTACTGGCTGTACAGTGGGCTATTTAAACAAGCGGGATGGAGAGCGCTCTTGCCTGAAATAGCTCACTGAACATGGTTGCAGTCTTGTAGAAGTTATTGGTTTAAAAAAAAAAAAACATTGAGGCTCAGGCTTAGCACCCTGCTCTTTAAACAATAAATTGCTCTGAGACAGGTCTGTCGACCTCAGGATTCATTGCTTCTCCCTTGATTACACTGTGTTTCTTTTTTTCAGATTTTATGTGTACATTGTGTCAGTGAATACAGATTTCAGCTCTTTTGATTCCAGGTTGGATTACAAAAAAGAAGTAAATAAATACAAAATATACCTTTTTTATTACAGTTTTACAATCTGCCACAAAACAGAAGTTGTAAAAAATACATTAAATCCAGTGTGGCAGGCGTTCAAGATCTCTGTCAGAGCACTGTGTAATGGAGACTATGACCGGTAAGCTGTAGACTAAACTTTCTTAGCATACTTTTCAACAATTTTTTTTTCTAACTTATGTATTCTTTTATATGTAACATTTTCTAAGCAATTCACTTATTAATAAATCATTTAGGTTATTTAATCAGCATTTTGAAAGGATAATATATATTCAGAAAACATTCTTCACATTACAGAATTTACAGAAAGAAAGCCAACGTGCTAAACCTGTAGTGAACGTTAGTAGTGATTTCTGGAAAAAAAAGGCCTTTGATCTTTATGGTGACTAAGGAACAGTTAGAAAGATAGACCAATATGAAGAAGTCATATGTATGTTAGTAGTACATACAGGCATTTTTTGTAACGTTTCAGTGGAAAGCAAACACTGATGATCTGCCTTCCTTGGTAGACACTGCAACTTCTGAAGATGCTGATAAATTAAAGCCTTTAAAGTACCTAGATAAATAGATGAGAAACCCAGATGGGTAGTCATCATCGTGGTCAGATTTGAAGTTGTCAGCTATCTCATGCAGAAGGATACATCTTTAAAAAACGTGGTAGTAGTACCATTACAAAGCAAATCAGTTAAGTCAAGGAAGTATGAATATTTTTAGACTCTTTGGAAAATGGACATGTTAACTTCTGACAACATCAACAGGAAAAACGTTAAACTACATGTTGATGACTTCTTGTTCTATTGTCACCATTCATATTTTTGAAATGCGTTTTTTGATTTTATGAATCTATAGCAATTAAAGGTCTGGTAGTTTCTCTCTGCTACCTGAAATTTGGAGTACTAGAATTATTTTAGCAAGGCTCTGAGGAAGAGTAGACTCATCAGTTAGTCCTAATTCTTTTAGCAGTATATGGTACAGTATTTAGATTAAAATAATGAAGGAGGTGTGAAGGACATATATGAGGACTAGAGTAAGAATATGAGTAGTTGTTAAGCTGCATGCAGTAGATAGGGAAGCAGATAGATGGACAGATGCGCTAAAGGTTCAATTCAGCTTTACGTAGGCTGAGTGAAAGATAAAGGATAGAAAACGTGAAAGATACAAAATGTACATGCCTGCATTTCAAAACAACAATTCAAAAAAATGGTTTGAATGCCATGTAACTAAACATTGTTTTTGTTTTACTAACTTGAGATGAGATGGCATGATCATGTCTTACTATCTTATATAACTTAAAGTACCTATATTATTAAGATAAAAAAGAGGAGTGTAGTACTGCATTCCTCTAAACCTGAACCAATGTTCCCATCAGCAGAAGCCTAATCCTTTATTGAAATATATTGCTGAATGTAGGGACCTTAACTACGACTTCATTCTAGTTGGTAATTTCCCTGTAAGTGAGTCTTTGAAATGATCTTCAGATTGGAATTGAAGTAGTTACTTTTCTTCTCTGCCTCAGTTTTTGTTTTCATCCTCTAGCTATGTAATTATCATTTGTTCATATATGTTTTATGTTACTGTAACAGCACGTTTTTGCCATGTCATCCCTCTATACTGTATTATTTTATCAACCTAATTACTCACTGAAATGCATGAAGTAAAATTATTTCAGCTGTTACCACGAAAGCGTAGTGTTTCTGGGATATGTTCTTTTAACTCCCTGGCTAATGCTAGGGGATAAACAGAAACCAAAACTTGTACTGACCTGGGCTTCAGTTGACTGAATCTAAAGAGTCAATACAAAGAAGCAGGAGAGTAAGAAGTACTTATATATGCTAAGCTAAACAGAATGCTTTCACAGTAATAGACTTAAAGCTCTTTGTACGTCTTTATAAACTGCTCATTAAACCACCAAAAGCTAATAGATTTGCGTTTTATTTTTCTAGGAAAATGGGTATTTCTTTCTCATTCTTTCTGAGAATGGCCATTCTTAGGGTGCTCCACTAGGTCTTCGCTGCTTTATTCTGTGATAATATTTCAATACTTGATGTGATGTTCCTTCAAACTGATTAAAGGAAGAAGGGTTCTCCTACATTCCTAATGCTCTGCTTGGGTCTTTTACAGTCTTTGTCAGCAGCATTAATTACTCTTTCATTTAGATACAATAAAAATGTTTTAATTTTGTAATAAGTATATTCTAATCAAATGAAATTTTTAACATGTACGGGGATTCATGTGCATAAAGCTTAAGCAAAATAGCACTCAAGACCCTAGTCTCTGACAACTGCACTATTTATTGTATTAAAGAGAAAAGTTTTACATAATAATTAAAAAAGAGATATTGTGGTACAGGTGTATTGGAAAAACTCCAGCATTCCAAAACAGAATTAAAAAATATGATAGCATGCTTCACATTATAGTATACTACTATTTTCTCTTGTTGTTTCTACTTTGAATGCTTTCCACATAATGTGGTCAGTGAACGTCTTATGATTAAATGACTCCATGAAACTGTAATCCTGCTTATATTATCATGCTTCAGATCAAGAAATATTCTTTAGCTGTCAGATTCATTCAAATTAGCTAATGATTTAAAAGAAGCATCCAAAGGTTTCAGGGGTTCTTTATTTGAAAACTTGTCTTTCCAAAGGCGAGGATTAGATTCTTAAACTCAGCATGGTAATACTCAGAAACACAGAACTGAAATGTCACTTTCAGATCATGATAATTGCACAGATCAAATTCTGGCACTCTCTGATATTTTGGGTTCTGTGGTAGATGTGAAGGGTGAGAGTAACGTCACTGAAAAAATATGTCAGAATTCATTCTATTCCTTCTTTCATTCATTCACTTTTTGAGGAGAGTAAATCTTCAGCAGTTAGTTTAAACATCTGAGTGAGCCCTATCCACTTTTCATTGAGAAAAGGCCAGAATGAACTTCATATTTTTCAAATGGCATGATCATACAATATCTTTTCAGCCATTCTAGGAATTTCAGTGCATCTCTAAAATGTTTATTCTCTTCTTTCTCTTTCCTCATAGGAGCTCTCCAATAGCACTTATGCTCTGTTATTTTATGTATGAAAGTAGTAAGACAGAATCATCCTAAATCCTAATCTTGACTAACCTTAATTTTTTACATTAAAACAGAAAAAAACACCCTCCAAACTGGGTCCTTTAAGACATACCAGCAATGTAGCGCAGGGTGAATTATCAGCATGTGCAGATCTGCAAGCCCTTTAATGTCTTGCATATATCCTTGCATGAATTACACAAATAGGTGAAACTCAGGATCTGTGATCAATCTTTTTAATGTGAAATAAGTTTTGGGCGAGAGGATCTGTACTCAGGAAGAGTTGCTCTTACTGAAATCCCACTTCCCGAGATCATTCTTAAGAATCTATCTTGATGATCTTAAGAATTTATCTTAATTCACGTTTCCTTTCTGAGATTATTTGGGTGTTTGGACACAAATTTGCAAGATAATGCAAAGACTTACTCTTTTGTAAGTCTTAACTTACTAGCATGTCTTATCTATCTTAATAGTAGCAGTCTCTGAAATCTGGAAGTAAAATAATGATTATCTAGTGGAAAAACTCCTTATGATATTGCCTTTTTAACTAAATTAAACAGTTTCCTTTCAAGGAACAAATATTTTGTTTGGATAAAGTACGTTTGGAGCTTGTTCTTGATTTCATTTAGAACAGAGCAACTTTCACTTTATTCTGTTGGAATTCTAACATAACTCCACCCCAAAATGAAATGAGAAGGATAAAATGTAACAAATGGTGAGGTCAGAGTCCTTAAATTTTAATTAGATCAACTTTATCCCCAAAAAATCCCTTTTGAGTAAGTGAAATTGAACCATATCTTGTATGAATAATTGGGAACAGCTTCTGTGGAAGTGAATTATAAAGTAATTCCTTGGGTTCCTGTGACTTCTGGTAATACCGTGGAGCTGATGGCCGTGGACCTGTGGAAGACTGTTCTGAAGGATAAAAATGAGCAAGTCATTGTTTAAAAGATAGGAATCTTGGAGGCATTGTTTTTCTATCCTCACTTCATTTGATGCTGACTGGGTTTGTTATCACTGATTGTTGGATTTAATTATATGTGTACATATATTTGTACACACACACACACACACACACTTTCTATAGTAAAAGAAGATAAATCTACATATTATTTCCATCCTGATATATTTTTCCTTATTTTTCCTTTTTTTTTTTTTTTTTAAGAGAGGTTGATGATAATATGCTCTATAGCATTTGCATTTTAAGGAACCCTCTCTTGAAGTAACTGTGTACATTAAGATCAGTCCTTTAATTTGGGATTTTTTTTTTAGACTTGTCTATTTACTCATCATCCTGGAAGCAAAAATAATTATACCTGTCCTCAGAGGTTCATTTTACTCATAAGGAAACATCATTTTCCCATTTGCAGCTTTTACATGTGTATAATCTTATGCCTGTTTCAGTAAGTGTATAACTAATGTGAAGTAAAGCAAAGTGATACAAAGTACATGAGCCTGCTTATTGGATTATACTTTTAGTTAAACTGTTTTAGTATCCTAATTCACACATAGCCATTGCAGATACATCAGAGGGAGGCCTAGGAAACTATATGGAGCCATTATATACTTAACGTTTTTCCTTAAAGAGGAGTTGCTCTGAAAACGTGTCAATTAATAATGATTTTATGCTGTGAAAAAAATTCTTTTAGAGACTTGTATTTTTATATGTGTAACTATTGGAAATATCTTGTATTGTATAAATGTCAAATTCTATTTTTTGCCGCTCAAAACTTCTGGCCTTACCATCTTCTACTGCTAATGAGCCCAAAGGTTAATTATATTTTCTGTAAAGAAATTGTTCCTTTTAACAATTTCAGTTTACCAATTTTATTAACATTGAATAACTTGGTCTTCTAAGAGGTATTAAATAAGAGCACTCACATTTTTTCTTTGTCATCTTTGTACATATTATTCCCTTTAATTTTGCAAACTGGCTTGTAAAATAAATCAGACTCCACTTCTCCTCAAGTGAAAATGCTTCTTTCTTCTGACTCTGAATCCTTTCTCTTATTGTTAACACTTTCATGATGCTCTCATGACTTCTTAAGATTGTAATCCTTATGGTAGTCCTTTTCCTTAGTATGGCTAAATGGGGCTTTTGTTCCCTTTGGAAGACTGTAAAATAACACACATTTTGACTGTGTTCCGTTACTATAGTGGTGACGTGCTGCTATTGACTGCTTGGTGGTCACCGTGAGAAACTGATTTCATGGAAAGAACAGTGTATGTTGGTGTAGGTTGCAGTGTGAGCAACTGAGGTCAGTCATGGAAAGAAAGCTTAGCAACTTAAGGAAGCAAGAGTGCTGGAGAGAATGCTCTAGTCCGGTTCAGGTTCGTGTTTAGAAAATATTATCTGCTAATTTGGCTTTCAATTCTGATATAAATGAAATAAATTCTAATTAGCTCTTCCACTGAATGACCGCTTGCAGTGGTACCTGTATTGGTGTTAACGTTTTATAACCTAGTTTGTCCATCAGCTCCTGGCTCGCTAAGAGGAGGGTGAAAATTCCCACAATACCTAGGACAATCTATCAGTTCAGGGAAAACTACTTACCAGAGTCTGTCCTTGCCCTTCTCCCTGCCCCTGCATCTGCTGACCCTGTTCCAGGGAGTCAGAGTCATGGTTATCTACTATAATCTGATGATTGAATGCAAGGATTAAATAACTATCCTCCTGGCTCGATATAAAGTTAAAGAAAGTGTGCTGAGCTTCTCTGTTCTCTTTGGTTAGATAGCCAAGCAGCCTTCTCCTCTTTATTGTGGGAAAGAGGAAGATGGAATTTCAAGTCAGGAAAAGTGTAGTCTTTAGAGGACCACAGTTTTCTTTCCTCTGCAGCCACAGACAGGGCCTTCACAAAATCATGTGTGGATCACACTCTGTTTTCAGTTTGCCCCACTACAAAACATTTAGTAGAGGTTAATACTGAGCTGTCTACCACATTGATGCTTCATTCTGTTCCAGAGTAGTTTTTTCATTTAAGTGTACGTCCTGCTTTACTTTCTTACTGCTTTAAATGTGCATTACTTTGTATTGTGAATGTTGCTATTAATGTGTGTTGTGCTGTTTATTAATTTTATCCTCTGAAGTTCTGCACTTTTCTTCTCAAATATCTACCCTGCAGTTGGTATCCTTTCCAGATACTAGCATATTCCAAAGAAACCTTCACAAAAAGGTTTTGCTGCTTTTCTTAAAAACTTCTATAATTCTTCAAGGTTTAGAGTATCTCTTACAGAGAAATACAGTAAATTCAAATACAGCACGCAAAACTATATTGGTTATACTCCTAATGAGTTTAATTGTTTCCTCAGTTTCTGCTGTATTTTACTATTAATTTAATTAAGGTGTATTGGGTGACCTGAGTGATTTGCTATTTTCTGTGCCGTGAGAAATGCCTGGAAGGTTCCGCTTTCTGGAGTTGGCATAGCTGATTACATGCATATACTTTTAAAATATAAGTATTAAAGTTAATCCTAGTACATATTAATGATATTTTCGCTTTTTTTATATTGTTTCAGAACAATTAAAGTGGAAGTATATGATTGGGATAGAGATGGAAGGTAAGATATTATTTCCATTGTTAGTCTTTAGGTTTATCCGTGCACATACATTTAAAAATGTATAAACATATAATGGCCAGAACAGCACAAGAGAATGTACTTTAGTGATATTTAAAGGTACAGATACTGGGGAAAAAAAAAGTTCTGCTGTGCTGCAGTTCTGTCTTGTTTTGAATTTGGGGTAAATGCTGACGTATCAGCTCATTTCAAATGCCATATGTGTAAGTTTATATCTGGAACAAGCAAGACCGAACGTGTTATGATCTGTAAAATCAATTTTGTGACTCTCGTTGGTGTTAACCCTTATTGTACATGTATAAAGAGAGAAATACGCCTTCATCTGACAATCTCCTCCTTTCTTCACCTAATATATTGGTTGATGAAGTATTGCTGTTCTTTTTAAGGATGATAAAAGGCCTGACCCGGCAATAACTTCCGCATATGCTACTTCACAGTTGCCTAGATATTGACACATGGAAACTACATATTATCATAATTTGAAATTGTGTTTGAATGTTCATTTCCATGTCTGGCCTCATCGAAAGGTTGTTATAAGGTCTGGAGTTGGAAGAGACAAGTTTTAAATAACTCCATCAATAAGAGGTAGAAGGTAGAAAACAGTTTTAAAGTTCTGTGGCTGATTTCAAGAGAAGCAATCTGCTCCGTTTCAGGCTCACTTTCTCTACTGAGTCTACCTCTTTTTCTGAAGAAATTAACTTTTCAGTTTGTCCTTACTTTGTCAAACAAGACAGGATTATTTTTGATCAGACTGGATTAATACCTCTTGTTCTTTTAAAAGTAATTGAGCTTCCATCTCAATATCTTAATTAGAAACTATACTCATAAATCGTGGCACTAATATTTGTTTGTTACACATGGATATGTTGATTTTTATTTCTCTATAAGCCGGTCTGTCTTAATTATTTCCTTTTCATCTTAATTTATATTTTTAAATGCTTGAATATGCACTTACCTTGCATTTGGATTTTTGAGAGTATATTATTTATTATGTAATAATGTCTGTAATATAGATAATGCATATTCTTTCTATGAATACTCTGAATCCTTTCTATGAATGATATTGTGCTAGTGTGGCCAGCTGATCTTATAATCATAATAAGCAGATTTATCCTGTCCCACCATTCATTTATTTGTAGCCAAGGGCCAAAACCAGTTTCAGCTTTCTTGGTTTAGACTTTTGTCTTTTTGATTCTGCCATGAAGCCTGTTGATTTACAAGCATTCTTATCACATTTACCCTCTGTGAATGCCTCCTGCTAGTGCAAATTCATCCTTCTTGATTAGATAAGTGTGACAAAGTAACATATTTTCGCAATTAAAAATATGAAGACTTAAATTAAGAAAGCTATATTAGCAAAATGTCTGTGCATCACTATAAAGATCAATCTCTATTAAATGTCCCCTCTTCCTCACTTAGATTTGCCAAATCCTTAAAAAATGGGATATGTTTACGTTTCTGTATATAAACTATAATAATGTTTGAAAATAACCTGGAAATGAAGAATTAAATAATTTTTCCAGTTTAAATTAAATATTATATATTGTATTAATGTCAGACCCCCTTTGCTGTCCCATTTCGTCCAGAATCTGAAGGTGAAGTATGATTAAAAAGCAAGCTTAAAGAAATCTGACAAATAGCATTGTATAGCTGCAACTGTGAGTGAAATCTTCAACATACTGTGGAATTCAGGCAATCGTTAGCTTCTGTAGCCTCCCAAACAGTTTGAAAGAAATCTGCTTTTGCTTGCATCCCACTCTGAATACCTACCAGAAAAATCTAAAAACAAAAGTTTTATTTACATGTTTATTTTCTATTTTTTATTCTAATTGTACGATGTTTTTAGCCACTTTCTATCATTTGTGAATTTAGAAGCAGACAGAACACTGCCATTTTGCATATTACTTCCTCAGAGAGAAGAGGCAGCACTCCTTTATGTAACTTCAGACAATTTAAAAATCAGTCAGCTAGACTGAACTGGTTGTTTAGGTTGCTTCAGGAGTCAAAAGGGGAAAATGACCTTCTAGATTCTGATAGAATCTGTCCTAACTGGAATAAACTGCCATTTGATGGTTCCTGTGATTTACTTATGATCATAGCAAGAACCTAAATGGCTAATTTGACTTTGCTGTTGCCAAATGTATCTGAGATGAATCCTATTCGAAATGCCTGTAGCAGTCTTACCAGTTTCTCGTGTAATGCTGCTGTTATGCAACGTACATTAATTTCCACTTTTGATGGACCCTTTATTTATAAGCATGGATAATTACCTCACTAGGCTGAATCATTTTGCGCTAGCGCAGTCTGGACGAAGACAACCTTTGAAAGATGATCAGAAAGCCTGCTAGATAGCTAAGTCAAATTACGATAACTATTTTGGGATATTCAGTAAGACAACAGTCCCATGCATATATTTGATCCCTGCATCAGTGTGGTTTTTTTTATTCAGCAGTCCTGAGTTAGGGGTGTTTTTTGTTTTTTGTTTTTTGTTTTTTTTTTCCTCATCCTATGTTAGCTGTGCTTTGGGAAAACTGCTCCAGCATGGTTTGGATTGAGCTTCTTACTATGATTTTCATGAGTTACATTGATAAGAGAAATTGTATGTTCTTAGCTTTTGGTTTTTTTCAAACACATCTTACAATTTTTTCAATTTTGTGCATCCTGAACAGAAATATTAGCTTAGTTGTATTTTCAGTGCTGAATTCTGACTTCATTCATCTTTGTGAAACCATTTGGAAGACTCTGTTTAGGGATACGTTGCTGATATGCGTGACATAAAAATTCGAATGGCAAAAAGTCTAGTGGGTGTAGAATGGGCCCAAGAAGTGAGAGACCAGTGTCTCTAAGGAATTCTTTAGTGTACTTACATTTGACGTTGAACACATCATCAGAGAGGGAGTAACACAGCTATCACACTCACGTTACTTTTAAATTCTAACAAGTGATGTAACAGTGTAGGTGCACGTTGTTTGAGGTATCATTATTTTATCAGGAAAGAATGGTTCTACTAACCAATCATATTGGAGCCGCTTGCTAAGAGATTCATGCAGATTTGAAAAAGAAAACTGAAAATTGAGGCAAGTTGTTCTTCACTGAAAGTCCCTACAAGTACAGCAGGCTTCTTTCCTTTATCTGAATTCGGGGCTGTGTGAATACTAAAAGACGGTCATCAGCAATACTCTTGTGTTTTTATTTCTCTCTGAAGACTTTTTCGTTAATGTTGGAGTACAGAGTAGAGATTTAAATGGGAAATTGTTACCTAGCATACATGTACAAAAGCGACTTGATAATCTTGGTGTTTATGCTCCGAATAAAGTGTATTTGTTTTATTTTTCTTAATTTTTAAAGCTATAAAGAGTGCATGATAACCAGAGCTGCCAAAGCAGTCATATGAGAGTCTAAACACTGCAAGAGAGATTTTAAGTGTCAGATTCTAGGCTTTCTCACTTTATTTCTTGACCTCCACTATTATTTTCCTTCTGCAGCTGCTTAGTTGAACTTTTTAAACTATTGCATTTTTCACTCTACTCATTGATTAATTTCTTGTGGTGATTTCTGTTTCCTCAATTTTTTTCCTTCGGATCATTAAAAAATTAACGCGATTCTGAAAGAGATTTTCGACACTGCAAAACATAGTTCCAGATTTAAAAGCAGATTTAAAAAGTTGGCGTTCAAGTGATTATTTAATGTAGTAAGAGATGTGAGCCACCGATTCAGACTTCTGATATGCAATTCATGGCCAAAAGTATTTAAATCTAGGAATATTTGGTATTAGGAGGCCAAAAATCAAAGAGGTCTTTTGTCTTGGAGTCTCAATCCAGAGACTAATAAGGAGATCTGTTTGGTGATGGGTGCTCATGAATATTGAGAGGGATGAGTGTCTTGATTTTCTTAAAGAGCTATTCTGCCAGCAAGGGCAAATGATGTCCCACAAGCACTCCATCTTTCAGAGCCAGCCTAGTTGCGGGGCTTATATCCACCTGAATAGTGAGCGTTCAGATCCAGATTGTTGGTCTTCTCAGTGCAGAGAACTCAGAGGCTCATTTTTATTTTACCTTTGTAACATGATAATTCAGAGGAATTTCTAGCTCCGTTCACCAAGCTATGTATATTGCTATAAGAAAAAGAGACGTTCTGGTATCTCTTTGAAATAAGGAAACAGTTGTTTTTATGCAGTTTTAAGTTTTTCCCAGGGACAACCCTCTCTGGAATTGCTTAGGTTTCTCAGTTTGCTACAGCATGTTCATATTTAGTCATTCAGCTATCATTTGAGTGTCTGCCTTTGAGAAATACAAGGTGACTGGAACATTTAAGGTAGGAACTCTTATGAAAGAACAAGATTCCTCCTTAACCAAGGTGCATTTTTTCCCAACTGTTACGATACCCCAGAATTAAATATAGCTTATGTACTACATAGTATTTGAGCCTTTATGGATCTCAAGTTCCATTGCTTATGTGGATGGTTTCCTCTTTCCTCATTAAATAGTTGTTATCCTCTAAAGAGCATTAAGGGAAAGAAGTCAATATCTCCAATATGTATTTCTTAAGAAAAGTCATAATCTTTCTATCTCAGAAGTAATTTCTTAATCTCTCAACCAAAAGGGGATTGATTCATGAGAAGTGGTCCCTTTTGTATCTGAATAATCAGTAATATCTTCACTATACAATATTTCTCAAGCTTTGTAAGGGATGCTTTTCTTGGTTCATTGGCATTGACATGATTACTGGACCTCCAATTGTTTATGTTACATATTTTGTGAATTCATGCTGATTTCATAAAGTGAGATGCTTATTTTGGGGGTTTTTTTTCATTTCCTTATGACTAAATCAAGAAACGTCATATTGCTGTAAATGGTTTCCGTATTATCCTCGTCTTGAACAGATATGTTTAAATTTGCTGTTAATATTTATAACTTGACTAGAAATATGTTTATTTCTTAAAAACAAATTTTTAAAGTAATAAAATCCTAAAACTTTGACTTTCCGTTCTAGTTTACCATTGGAGGAAAAGTAAAGAGGTATATGGCAGTTGCACAATGCATCAGTTGTGGAGGAAGAGTATAGAGGAGCTGCAGTGCTTTGCTAGGAAACAAGGCAACAGAGGGACGCGTGGCCGGGAGGGAATAGGAGCTGGAGTAGCAGTGAGAAAACTTCAGCTGGAAAGGGTGGAGGAGAATAGGAACAGAAGGTCTCATGACTACTGGGAGTTGTGTAGCCACCTGTTAGGCAATCGTCTTGCACAAATTTGTAGATTTGGTCTTTCAGAGTGCAAATTACTCCCTCCTCCCCCTTAATACTTTCAGTCATATATCTGTGGTAGCGGGGGTGATCCAGTGAGAAAACGGTGATAGTCTTTGATAGCTCACTCTGTTTTTTTCAGATTCTGTAAGCTTACATGAGGCTGATCTCTAATTTACAGCCTAGTCTTCACTGTATGGCTGGGTAACTTAAGCAGGAGCTTTCAGAAAGATTTAATCTAATACTTTTCGTTCGTAAATTATTATTATGAGTGAATATGTAGCAGAAGGAAAATACAGATTGTTAAGCAAATGATATCTTTTGCCATTACTGCTTTCTCAGGTGTTCATATTGGCTGTGTTTCTCTTTTTCATATGTATGTGTAACGCATATGTAAATTAGTCATGTTGTGCATGTGATTTGAAAACTTTTTTTTTTTTTTAATACAGCCATGATTTCATCGGAGAATTCACAACAAGTTACAGAGAGTTGTCTAGAGGGCAATCTCAGTTCAATGTGTATGAGGTAAGTATTGGGATATATTTATTCGCTTTAAGGAAATAAGGGAGAAAACTTTCAATATTTTAATGGCAAACTGGTCAGACGCGCACAGTGCTTGCTAGAATCAGTGTTGGAATTATTTCACATTTCTCCTTTTGTAAAGAAGGACTGAGGGCCTAAGAGCATTGCTTTGTACCAACTCAGGCTTCTGGATTGGTATGGCATAACTTGGAGCGAGTACTGGGTTACTCCCATGTGTGTCTCAGCAATTTGTCATTTATTTCTCCTTTTACCAACTGTGACACATTGTGTTTTGCATGCTGATTTCTCATAGGCAAAGAATATCTGGTAATTCCTGCACTAGGTGTACATTCATATGACTAGACTTCAGAATTTCACCTAGTTTTGATACTAGAATTAGAAGTGACAAAGAGCTTACTTATTGATAATTTTTTCCTGTGATCAGTTATAGCTTTGCTTAAAAATGTGCATGTAATTTTCAGTTAGGCTGCATTGAGTTCATCTGCCAATTGTTGGGATCGATAGGCATTTGTTAATTTAATTATAGAAATTTTTATTATTAGATATCTTCTAACTGCAGGAAGATCTTTTTATGTATTGTAGGTAAATGTAGACTACAACCACATTTCCTCTTAATGTTCTTTGTCTTCTGTTTTTTTCTCCCTGCTGTCAGAATTGTGCAGGCTTCTTTGTTTAGTCTAGTTCTAATAAATCACTAATTTAATACTTCTTTCTTAATGCAGTCTGAGATTATTGGGATTTGCAAAAAACGTAGACTTCAAAATATGCTGCAGTTTATTCTCACAAGCAGTCAGTGAGCTTATGCAAACAAAAACTGAGATGCACGAACTTAGGATGTCATAAAGGGACCCATTTTAATGACCTTTTTTTGGAAATTTCTCTTCCAAAATATCTCAGATTTGAACACAAACAATTGACAACAAAGTCTGAGCATTAAGACTCATGCATTAAATTCTCATTTTTAAATTTTTAAAAAAATACCCCCCCCCCCCCAAATCTCATTCTGGAATGAAAGACACAATATGAAATTTCAAAATATGTTAAATAAGGAGAGGGAGTAGGAGGAAAAGCTTTTAAACATTTTTGTCAGTGAGAAGAGGTTTCAACTAGCCGACTCTATTATACGTTATGTTCCAAAGTCTTAAACTTCGACTTGTTTTCTTGCAAATCCAGGAAATTTCATTTTTGATTTTGAGACCCCATTGTTTCTATGTATAGTTTAGATCACTTTGGATTAATCTTCGGTAGATGACAGCATGTATTACAGCAACTGCAAAGGCTGAGAATATGCTTCAGAGCTGGAAGCAACATAGATGTGTTAGAGTTACACTATACCTGAGATAGTAAGTTCTGCCTAAATTGTCTTAGCCTGAAGGTCAGCTCTGGTGCTGAAATAACATGGTTGTCCTCCTTTTTGAACCAAAGATAGTATGTTTGTCCACTGCTATCCTGTATACTGGCTTATCTGAGTGTATGTCAAGCATCTGCACTGTTGTGTCTTCCAGAATTCTAGCAAAAGGAATTGGGGTTTTTTTCCATGGAAGGACAATATGAAGCGTTCCAAGTTCCTCCTCCTCACCCCTCCTCCCCCTATTTTGTTCATTTGTACCAAAAGCCAGGAAGTATTCCTCCTAATTTAGGTGATATGGGTAATGAGCAACTAAATCTTGTTGTCTGATTGCCCTGCCTGTCCTTATATCATTGCTTTTTCTCCCAACATTAGCCTAGTGCTTACGGATGAAATGGTATCTAAGCATCTAATCACCTTTCTGATTGTATGCAGTCTTGATACAGAAATGACTGCAACTGATATGGTGACGGCGCTTGGGGACAGGTTGTCTGCTTAATTGGAGCAGTATTACCATGAAGAGATCCAGGGGCTCAACGGTAGCAATTTTCATAGGGAAATAATACATGTATTCCACATGCCTGTAGAGAGAAAATACATGCTATTGCGTTTTCACGTATGTGTGCTTATGTCCAGGCATTTGTGTTAAAGTTTTTTAGCACTCTCCATTTCACACATGCTCACAGACTAAGTGAATGGATTGTGTGCAATCTCTCAGCTAAACAGCTGAATCAGGTGTTTTGCTCTATACTTCTTATTTTTTCTTAAATACATTTGCTGAGCATCCTGTGTTTGCCCCCCACATCACAGTCTGCTCTGTTTTGCTATTGCTTCTGCTTGATAAGTCTCTGCAAGACCAGAACAAAAGGGACTGGACAAATTGTTTTACATTTAGAGACTGACCTAAGGCAGAAAGAGAAATTTGTGCTTAATTGGGTGTCCCAATTAGAAAGATTGCTATAACAAGCTCCCTTCAATTTACTTTTTTTAATAGCCAGGAGTTCATGTTTCCTAGGTTAGTGCATTGGTGGAAAGCTTTCAGAGGCTAAAAAGCTCTTTCATTTATAAAGTTATCTGAAATTTCAGCAAAAACAAGGAACGTAAATATTATTAGAGTAACAATAGTACCCAAAATTACCGGGGAAAGATAAGCTATGATTTAAGTAGTCTTTGGTCCCAGATAGATGCCTTATTTTCCAAGGTATTCCACTGCAAGCTCCAATGCATTTCCTAGCAATTCCTAAGAAGCTAATTGTCAAGTTATCTGAAGCAGAAGATTCAGATGGATCTCTTCTTGGGCAATTAATGACTGCTGGCCAGAAATGTGCTGCTAACTCAGGCTTGACCACTGGGTTCTGGATAGCTGTGAATGAAGGGCCACAGGGCAGGCAGGCCGTCTGTTACCTTCATCTTCCTATTCTGGGCGATCCTCAGCAGGACTCACCTTCTGGCTAAGAGTGATTCAACGAGAATCATTGCATTGTGCATAAATCATGACTACATAAGATTTAATTCATTGCTCACCAATCCAGCCACTGTTAGGAAGTGGAGTGATTGGATTTTTCTGGGAGGGCTGGGAAGGTTGCCTTATGTACAGCAATAAAAGCTTTGAAGAATACTCTCCAGATAATGATGTAGCATATTGGAGAGAAAGACAGAATCACTCTCGTGTAGCCTGTTCTGGAGACCTCAAATGATAGTTATCTCTTTCTGCCTTATATTTCACAGCTGTTCTATGTTGTACAAGGAATATAATCTTTAAATATAATTTCATTTTGGGTGGGGGACATTTCTGGAGGACATATTTTACTTTCCCCCCCCATTTTCAGGCATAATTGTTTAAATATTGTATAGCAGTTAAAGGGCTAAGGTTGCTACTGGGATTGCTTTCATCCCTTGTCATTCAGAGAACATCTGTGAATAGTTTACAGTAAAACTTGGCAGTAAGCCACAAAGATTTGAATTTCATTGTTGCGTGGGAGAAGGTTGATCAACCTAATTAACAAAATAATATTTTACTTCCAATTCTATGCACCGTTCGGAGTAAACAAGGAATGCATCTTTAATGTGTTTGTAATGAATCGTACTGAGACTTGCCTTTGAGTGGATAGGTATTCAGAAGGAAAATTATTTTTTTCATGTCAACACTGGGATATTTTGCAGAAATGAGTTCAAGTCATTCAAGAAATGTAATGTATATTGCTTGATAGTTCTCTGGAGATTCGTGTATAGTGGGAAGGCATCGAGCCTCCACAGTTCCTGCGCATCAAGCAGGTGGTGGTCATTTTCATCAGGTGACTTAACTCATTTCCATTTTAGGGCAGTATGATCTGGGCCCTTCTTTCCTTGCAGATGCTCTTCCGTGCGTTCAGTGTGCTGAATATATTTAGAAAATATACTAGTAGAAAATAGACTACTTGCTCCCTTGAAAGTATCTTAAGAACTATCTTTATGTTAAGTCATAAATGATGCTACTTTAATATTTTTTTTTGTGTTTCTAGGTAATAAATCCAAAGAAAAAAGGGAAAAAGAAAAAGTATATTAATTCTGGAACAGTAAGTAAATATGTTTTATGTTACTAGATGCTTTCCTTTTCTCTTGAAACACAGTGTAGCTGACATAATTTAAGAGAGTTAGACTGGAACCTTCTTCAAAGAACACAACAGTAAACTGTTTACTGTAGTACTGCATTTCTTCTTTCAGACTATTTTTATTTGAAGAAAAGGATAAAAGCCATGATCCAAGTGTGATGTTAGTTGCCAATGAGTTTCAAAATGAGCTCTACTGAAATTGCAGTCAAATTCTTTCAAAATTCAATTTTCTTTTTAAATTCAACTGCTAAGCTAGCATCACTAATAGCTGGTAAGTCATGCCTCTCATGGTGAAACCAAGAAGATTCACCATTTTATATTACCAGCAGATTTTTGATAATGTTGAAAGTTCTGTTACTATAATTTGGGAATTATTCATATTCCATATTCTGTGTTATGAATTACTTGCTAGCAGTACAAAGAATTCCTTTCAGCATTTTCTGAGCTTCTGTGTTCTGGCATTCAAGATACTTTCAATATTATTTATGAAAAATGAAGATAAATGTTGAAGAATTGTGTCTAGGAAAGACTAATCAGACTTTAGATATGATTTTTGAAAACACATCCAGCAAGGGATTTTTTTCCACATGAGCAGTTCCACTGCAGTCAGCAGTGCTGCTCTCACTCTGATTTGCAGCGCTGAAGGAATGGTTTGTCATATTCACATTCTTGTATAAGTCAGTTTATCAGTAGGAAAATGATCATTTATTTTTAGTGTACCTTTGTTTTAAATAAAAAAGCAAACAGAAGCAGTTTGTCCATGGAAATTTACCACATGAGTTCTTATTCATTAAAAATTCTTTATTTTTTCTAATATGTTCCTTTTACTAGACTTCAATGTGTTAGAATAAAGTTCTGTTTTGCTAAGTCAATGAGTTTGGAACTTATGAAAAAGTGATTATTTTAAATCAATACTGAAAGTTAATATACTCAAAATTGCAGGTATGGAATCAAGCTTAGGGTACAGAACAGCAAAAAAACAATTGCATGTACATATTTTCCTGTTGGTTTGGGTTTTAAATCTATTAACAACTTCACAGATAGCTATCTGTATTTGAAAGAATGTACTTTACTCGTATCTGTGCAGACACAAACAACTGTGTCTTCTTATCTCTTCTCTCAAATTGCAATGAAATTTCTGTTAAAGGGTTTGGTGGTAGTAATTTTCTTTCCTCTACCATGCTCTCTACCATTGCTTCATAACTTCTCTTCTTATCATGTCCTCCTTTCCCCCATTTGCCCTTCATCTTCACATGACCTGTCACGTTCATAGCTCCACTTTTTTACTTCTCTCTTACCTTCAGGGTTCCTGTATACTTCTCAGGGTTGTCACTTTTCTGTATGTCTCTCTGCAATGTTCTTCTTACTTCTTCCTCTCATTCTTCACCCTAGATATTGTTTGTCCCACAGTTTCCTAAATTCCCAAGACCATCACTCACTAACAGAAAGTTGGCTTCGCAAAAATTTCAGTGAGGTGGATACAGATCACTGACTACTATCTCACTACTGCTTTTAAGAACTATGTAGACACAGTAACCATCTCAATTCATCTCAAGTCAAATAATGACTTAGAGAGTCATTTGAAATTCAGACAAACACGCTAAGCAGAAATGTTTCTAAAAATGTGTTTCTGATTAGTTTCAAACAAAGTAGTGAAATTTGAAATTCACTGTGCAAAAATTGGAAGGTCACTAATTATTGGAAGTATATACTTTGATCGCTTTGGATGTTGTCTGTTTTATTTTTTTACGTTTTAAAACTAGATTCACTCAAAACATTTGCCTAAATTAGTTAGGAACACGATGATGTGTTGTAATAACTGATGAACCATTAAAATGATTGTATATAGTGGCAAATGAATAGAAATTTCAGTCGTATATTCCAGACTATGCTATTTATAGTCTGGTAGGACTTTGTTATGATTTCTGTTCTCAACTAGAAAGGTAATTCTATGGCCTTAAACTTTGGAAGTCACTAAGGATCTCGGAAAACCTGGGACACAGGAAGTAGGATAGAAGAGAGAATTGTCACCTATAATCTCCTCAATCCAAATTTGAACCATAGGAATATTTTGAAATTTTATTTTGCGCTGCTGTTGGAAACAAATCAAATTTTATTTGCACTGACAGATGTCTTTTCTCTTTTCACTCCTTGTATCTCTATCAGTCAGTGGCTTTGCTTTGAGTAGTTGAGCAGTTCTCACTGAATGCCTGGTGCACTTCTGTTGTGAGAAAATTTCATGTCACATTTTAAATAAAGTGAAAACAATTTGGACTAAATTCTTTGCTTTGTGAATATCTGAAGATGTTGAATGCTGGATCGTCTTGAGTTTAAGCTACTGTAACTCAAGCACTGGAAATACTAGTAACGCTTTAGACTGCTGCCTGTGTTTTGAACCCATATAATTTCTGAATGATAGAAGTTGGGAGTGAAGAAATTTCTTATCTTCACATTTTTTATGTTATATTCCACTTCAAATATTTTTACATGTTACATGCATATGTATAATTTACTAGATTTTTTTGTTCTTGGCTTCCATCAATACTCAGTATTACTTTTAGTATGTGATGAAAAAGGAGATATAATAATTGTAAATGAGTTCTATCAACAAAGTTAAATTCATCACAGAAAAGATGAGTTAGTCTGGCATCTAATATTAGTGTGTAGGTGCAGTGTACTGTGACTAGCAGACATGCATGTGGTAACCTGCCCTGAAATACTACCTTCTCTCCCTTTTTTTTTTTTTTAAAGTAAAAGATAAAAGTAGTAGTTCTGATAGACTTCCAGATTTCTCTCTTCCCTTTCAAAAACTGCTTCTTGAAATTACTTTGTATTTTTTATATCTTCTTTTTTCCCTAATGCTGTAGGAAATATGAATACTGTAGGAAATTATGGCATAAGTATAGACCTCCAAAAGCATTGTGCTTATGTCCCTACTTGTTTGATTGGGAAATGACAATTCATGTCTGACTCTTTTATTTGCTTTCAGGTAACATTGCTTTCCTTCCTAATTGAAACAGAAGTTTCATTCCTTGACTATATTAAAGGCGGGTATGTAATTGGCCACAGCTTTTCTTGTTTTCACAGTCTCAATATAATTCACTAATAATTTGTATATGCTCTATTTATATGATGATGCTAAGTGCTGTCTGTTAAGAGCTATGTTGTTTCCACATCTTAGTTGCCGTACTTTGTTACATAAAAACTACAGATTGATTTTGATATAACTTGGGTCATAATGATTTGTGAATACATTATAGAATGTCATTTACAATGTTGGATATGTGATGGTACAAAAATACTGAGGTTGAATAATGACTTTTCATTAGCCAGTGAGAAATGGATTAGCTGAAAGGGAATTACCTATATGCTATCAATGTAGTCAAATGCTCTTTTATTTCTTCTAAATACACTGACTTGTGGTGTATTTAATACTGGCGTTTGTTTAGAATCTTCTCCCTTTAAAATCGTATTTTTCTTACTAATCCTGTCAAATTTATAACATGCTCCACTTCTCGTTTGTCATCCCTTTCCCAAAGGGAAAGTAGAGACAGAAGTATAAAATGGCTTGCACTATAACATGCCTGGAATGGGACTGAATCTCAGAAATTCCTGTTTTTTAACCTCACTATCAGAACAGAATTTTTCTCTAAATAATTGGAAACAATTTTGGTATAAGAGCTCTCAGGATCTCTTAATATGAGTTTTTTGAAGCATACAGTGTGAACGTTCTTTCCATGTTTATTTTAGGGCATTGATTACTTGTCAAGAAACTTTGTGACAAGAAACTATTTTTTTGTGACAGGCTTTAGCTGGGCTTCAATTGAAATAAAATGTAGTCCATGTTTTGTTTTGGCAGTAGTAATATAGGGCTTCATCTTTGTTGTCAACTATGGTAATCCTACAAATAAAAATGTACTTAAAATTTATTCCTAATACGTTTTCCATTGAAGTTCATTAAGGTAAAGTGATGGCACCGATTATAATTATGTTATCTACAGAGAGACTATTGGTAAACTAGCTGGACAGCCATTGCATTCAAAGTTTTGAAAGACCGCAGACTGAAATTATACTCCATATTGAACTGATAACTTGTAGAGAGGGAGGGGATCACTGATAAGATGTGTTTCTAATTGTTGACCTTACTCATGGGCTCCTGCACACTGTAAATTTTTTTTCTCTCTTAAGATTTAACAGCCTGTGATATATTTCAGTTCTCTCAAATAGTTTAGTGTGGAAGTTAGAGAAACAAAATTCGCTGCTGTTTGATCTCCATCCAAGAAGACAAATATTCTCACTAAGAATGAAGTCATAATCTCTTATATATTTTAAAGCACAATGTCTTTTGGCCCATTTAGATTAAACCTTATGCCAGCATTTTATGTATGGCTTTTGAAAATGGGAATGCTTAATTAAGATCCTTAACATGGATGTAGAGGTGCTCTTTTTTTAAAATATTCATTTCATATCTTTGGAGAAATTTATGATTTAACTTGATTATTTGGTCTTCTGTGGCTAAACACATTCTGTCATTTGGATAGTATGCAGAGCCTCTGCAACATTTCAGGTTTGACTGTTTGATAATGCAGTGTGTTATGGCATACAAGACTGAAGTCATTTCCTTTCTGGAAAATTCTAGTTCTTTGTGTAAAAGCAGTTCTAAAATTAAGAATCTGGTAAAATATAATTGAAATATTCTACTGTTAAACAAATACCTTTTGCTGCTGGCTGGTGTCTGCTCCTGCTATTCCTGTTCCTGCTGCCACCACTGCCAGGTTTTCAAATTAATCAAAGTAAAATGATTTTACACATACTGGAAAACAGTTGCTTCCCTTACATGTTCCATTACAGGTAGAAGTCATATATTTCTATATTCTGGAATGAAGTGGAGGGTGAATACTCTTTCTGGACCCTGTTTGTAGGACGATTTTAGGCATTACACTGAATTTTCTAGAAAGTAGTCTGTACTGCAGTTGCCCTAGGAATCTGCACCAAAGCCATCCTTATATCCAAATTTTCTACGCGGAGGTTTGGTAAACGTGGATAGGTGGCCATTTTCTGGTTCTGTCAAGAGGGCTTCCATAACAGATCGACTGTGACTGTTCATACAAAAACACAGCCAGGGGAACCTCAGTTATGCAAGTCGATCTGTTACGGAATCCTTATTTGGACAAATGTTGATGTAGTTTTAATAGAGAGTCTTTGAGGTTAAGAGGATCAGGGGTTGCAGAGGATGCCCTGTTCTGACCATTCACTCTGTTAGGGCATAAGCGCCTTCTCTTTCC